AGAGCAGTGTGTTCGGCACCCATTTCCTCACACAGCATTTTAAGAAGTCAAGACTTTAGAGGATTTTAGAGGATGCGGCTGCTGCCGAACTGTCAACGCTGTCTCTGGTCATACGCGTTTTATAATTGCCGGTAAAAAGAATAATTATTAGTTATTTTGAAATTCATAATAATTGAAGCCTGTACTCATCAAACGTTTTTCTATATGTATTTTTATTTTTTGTTATTTTTCTAATTGATTTATGGCAGTTTTAATTTTTATCTGTAGGAAAGTATGCTGCGCCCCCCCCCTGGGGGTCGCGCCCCACAGTTTGAGAACCACTGATATAGAGTATAAGATTAACGATCGAGAAGTATTCATTTAATTAGATAAACTTAACTTCAAGATTCTTTAGAAATATATATAGTACATAAATTCTTGATAATGTCTACATGTACCTGTATTTCATTTTCTGTAATGCCTGTTGAAAATCCAAAGGAGGATTTTGGTTAAAAATATTTCCAAAGTTCCACATCTTCTGTCTTTCCTTCCTTGTCAGTTCATTTTTAATAGTTCTCCTCACGGGTTTATCCGGTCGCCGGATAACATCGGGAACCCCCGTGATGGACAGAGAAGGAAGTATTTAATATTTCTTGAAGATCTACACAGGTATGAATCTTCATGGAACTTCGTAAGTTTATCATGTCTTGTGAAGCTATCTCAACTACGTACATCATCATAAATCGACCCATCATTAATACCAACATTTCAGCTTCTCAGAGTTCTGAGAGAAGCCCTTAATACTCCTCTAACGCCTGTACCAATCTTCATGGAAATGGTGTGTATATATTGTGGCGTTGAGCCACAGCAATATGTAAACACGGCTATTACGCAACAATGAGGAAAGCGGTGTTTTCTCCGTGCTCAGCTGGTAGTTACGCAGCGTTGCCGTACACATCTCTCGGTAACGTTGCCTAGCAAAGCTAATTTAACACGGCGATTACGCGAAAGAGGGCAAGCTGTGTATTCCGCTTGTCTGACTTGAGGGTTTATGGGAGAAACTGGAATTTCTAAGAAGTCAGTCAGAGTCAGTCAGTCAGTCAGTCATTCAGAGTCAGTTACGCGTTACGAGAGAAGCACACGAACGGAGTACAGAAGAATACAGAAGGTCGCCCTTTGGGGATAGTAAAGTGTGATTTGAGGACTTTGTGTGTGCTGTGGTGCAGAGATATCTGAAGCGCTAGTTCCTGTGGTTTAATTGCGTTTTGAGAGGACTTGTGTGTGCGCGTGAAATGTGTGTAAATCAGCGATAGAGCTATATTTAAGTGTATTTAAGAGAGTGTGTGTAACTAAAGTGTTAACCGATTCAATCATCCGAACTAGAACCCTACATTTCGTCACGCGTACCATCCCATACGTGGCAATATCATGCCATCTGAAGCCATCTCAATGGCATACATTATATTGTGACATGTTGCGCAACGGAGAGCCCCTCCCTACCCAGCAGCAAAGTGGCAACTCAGGCTATAGTGACGTGGCGGATGAGTCAGCGCTCCCCTCCCCCCCTCCGTACGGTAACGTAACGCGCAACGCGCGGTGACGTAAGACGGCGTGAGGTAACAGCGTTGCTACGTAACAGGCACACACAGCCACTATATAAGAGAGCTGCGCTGCCTGAGAGTTGAGTTGTAATGTGACCATCGCCTAGTTCAGTTCCGTGTTAGTTCCGAGTAAGCCTACGAGCGAGTGTGTTATCAACAGTTCTCCAGTCAGCAGCGAACGAGTAAAAGTGTGATAATCAGCGACAGTTTGTGATGACTGAGAATTAATTGGGAGTGTGTAACACAGTGACACTTGTATAGCTCCCGTACTGTGAAACGTGTAGTCTACTGAAGACAGAGTGAACTGATTTGCGAATAGGGTTATAAATTGTAAAACCCCGCAACAGTGTTAACAGATTATTGCGATTAGGGTTATAAAGTGTGAAACCCCACAACTGTGTGATAATTAATTGTAGCCGTTACTTGTAGGTTGTTGAATAAACAAATTAACAATCTCTACGGCGTCTTCAGTAACGTAAACACGTTACAATATATACACTATATATTGTAACATGTTGCGCGACTGAGAACCCCCCTCCTCTCCACGGTAACGAAGCGCTCCCTCCCGCCCCTCCGCGGTGACGTCACGCGGTGACGTAACGCGCAACGCTAACGTAACCGTAATCAACGTCCTACTGTGACGTGGCACTCATTACGCCACAGGCAAGCACTGCAGCTATATAAGTGGATGCACAGTGCGTATCGATCAGTTCGAGTTCGAGTTCCAGTGTGGCTACCGCCGAAGACATTCCGAGTTATAAAGTAACAGCCAGCCGACTACA